AAAGTGGGTCAAATGGCTACCTCATTTAGGCCAATGACCCAGAGAAGAAGGCCCAGCTCCTTTTAATAATCATAGAACAAAGAACAAAACTGGGTAAGTGAGGAAAATAATGCAGTTGATTACAGAGCTGGCAGCATTATGGAGGCAAGAACAACATGACTGATTAGAATTTGGAAAGGAAGTGCTAGCAATAACCCTCTCCTTCCCTCGGTGACTAAGAAATGTGCATTGTTTGAATCCACTTGCAAAGTAAGAGATAGTAGACCAGACTTCTTTGCAGAACAAACCAGACATCCTTGGAGGACAGCTTGATGATATAAAGATACTAGACCAGACTCCCAGCTATCTACCTGCATCCCTCAAGGATAGCTGATTTCCTTGAGGCAAGAATAGAACAGTGATTAACAGGAGAAATGAATTTCTAAACTTAGCTCATAGGCAAAGAGACAAAGAAATGTGGCTTGAGCAATCATACAAAATGCAGCAATAATACCAAATAGGATCAATTACAAATAGAATCAATTACAAAAATTATACAGAATCAATTTAATTTATATATAATAAATGCTTGTTTCTTTCCTGCCTCTCTTAGCCTCAGTTTCCCCTTATGTAAAATGGGTAAATTTAACATGTAAAATGATTAATAGCACCTATTTCACAGGATTTTTGTGAAGATCAAATAACATGTAAAGAGCTACATAAATGCTAGATGGCACAGTAGATGGAGTGCTGGACCTGGAGTGAAGATCTGAATTCAAATCCAGCTTCAGACACTTAGTCATGTGACCCTAGGCAAGTCACTTAACTCAGTTTTCTTATCTGTAAAATGAGGATAATAATTGTGTCTGTCTCCCAGGGTGTTGTGAGGATCTTTGTAAAGAGCTTAACCAACATGAAAGTGTTCTATCACTGCTAGCTATGATGATGATGATGATGATATGTTTCAATAACCCTAAATTATAACATGAAAAAATATAAATACATTTTAAAAAAAGGAACTATATAAAAAATTTAGAAATACTGTACCTATGGAGAATCAATAAAGAATTATCATTTAAAAAACAGAACAACATATCTTCATAGTCTATTAACCCCTCAGTTCTTTTTACAATTTAAAATTGTCTGGACTTGCAAACTACCCTTACAAATAGACATAGATGGAGCTGTCACTGTTCACCCGCATCTTCACCTCCAGATACCTGTTTCATTCTCAAGGCAGAGAGTACAAATACTTGGCACTTTCAGCAAATCTGGAGGGTTCAAAGACATGAAAGGAAAGAAACTGGGACAAGAAGAAATAGATTAGAACTGTTCTCTCTCCAGCCCCAACAAATCCTTGCTTTACTACCAGGTTATTGTTGTTGTTCCCCCCTCCCCCCATTTCAGATTGTTGTGAGGATCAATTCAGCTGAGAATCAAAATCCGTTGTGAGACTGCTTAGCACAATGCCTGGCACATGGTAGGCACTTAATATATGTTTGCTCCCTTTCCTTTCCTCCTCTGCCTGAAATTCTAGCAAATAGAAAGTTATTTGGGGTAACAAGCATCTGCTCTTTTGAAAAACATCAACCCTTCTCTAAGGGATGGGGCACTTTCAATCATTCATACATTAATCATTTTGCTCCTGAAATCCATATTGAAGGACTAAGAATTTGGATTGCAACGAAGGAGAGGGAAGAGAACTTTACCAGTATGTGTACTTCAGCAGGAAACTTAGGAAAGCATGTGGGTTGGGAACAGGAGCCCCAAAAAAGTGTTGAGGATACCAAAGACAATTCTGACCATTGGAAATTTTTGTCTATGGCCTACAAAAGGAGGGAGACACTCTCACAGATATGGTATTGAATTCGATCACAAAGTCGTCCAATCTAAGCCTCCCATTTGACAGATGAGACAACTCAATAGCTGAGATTAGAACTGAGGTCTTCTTGACTACAAACACAGCATTCTTTCCACTATATCTGAACTCTAATTCAAGACCACAGAACTCAGATTAGCACTGTAAAATTTTCTCTATGAGAAGATATGTTGTTCTGAGCTTCAAATTCTTGAAACACAACTTGTTCACAAATTGAGAACTGTGTATATAATTATTACTGATACTAGGTTGGTGGGGTGGGAGGAACTGTTCGATAAAAGCCATTTTAAAAATCGATCTGAGCAAAATATATTGTTATTATTTGGCATGTTTGAACTAATTATGTTTAATAAATGAATGTAGCCATCAATATTAATGATTTCTACACTGTGAAGAAAATATATTCAAATTAATTATTGAGTTACTAATATGAAAAAAGTCCCAAACTCTTAAGTGGAGAATATTATTTATTCAGTTTTTCCTTTTCTGCTTATCATAAAATGTCAAATGTTAGAAAACACTGAAACAACATATGATTTTTATTTGTCTTCTACCTACCTGCAAAAATCAATGAAAATTACTGTTGTTTCTTGAGGCCCTATGGTACAGTTAAGGCATGGTCAAGTAGCTCTTTGTGAATCTCAAGTGAACTTCCCAGCCAAGGCCTCACTTGGTAATCCTTTGGGTTTAGATGGCTCAGAGTGAGTGTAAATTTCAATTGTTTCTGTTCTGCCCAGAAACCCTGAGGGTCTTCCCCTCCCAGTTTGATTTTTTTTTTTTTGAGTAGGCAAACTAGGCAATCTTTTGCCTCATTTCTTATACTTAAATCACTGAATGGGTGTTGCTTCAGACAAACTGAAACCTGGGAAAGACCTTAGCTTAAAAAGGCCAAGGTCTCCCACTGCATCTGGGATGATCTCCAGTTGTCCTGACTTATGTCTTGCCACTGACTTAGATGACCCTGGAGGAGAGAGGGAGGCTGATGACTTTGCACTGCTTTGCCTCACTTAAATCCAATTCACTTGCAAGTCAAGACACCACCCTCCTGATGCCACTGGTCCTCAACAGTAATGGTGCAAAAAATGCTGACTATACGTCTCTGGGACTCAATTTGTTCATGCAAAAGAAAGGGGTTATCTTAGATAAGGCACCTTCCAGCTCAAATCTATTATTATCCTATTATTCCCAAATACGTTTTTGATAATTAAACTTTGGTCTAGGGGGAAACTTTCTTCATACCCATAACCACAAATCAGCATGAACATTCTTTTAGGCAACAAAATTCCAAAAACTTCAGAATTGACTATAACACTTGCCTCCCTTAAATACTAGGTTATATTGTTAAAAAACAACAACAAGAAGTAGATAGCTAATAAAGAATTATTATTGTTTAAATTCCTTTTGTGTCTACACCTAATTATCTTTTGGGGAAATTAGCTTAAGCAAGGACTGTAATGACAGTTAAATGTCCTATTAGGATTCTGTATCTTATAGAAAAGCAATCAAATTGAAATGCTTTGGAAAACAGGAGAATGGGTCCGTCCCCCCCACCCCATTAACCTGTGAATCTGGAAAAGAGAATGGCCTATGGGTCTAAGTATCCATTCTGAAGAAACTATAACAGAATATTAATTCAGAGAGAACAGCTTATCCCTTCTAATTTGGAATATAATAACCTTTGTTGATCCTCAAGTAAGTATTTTAGATAATGCCTTTGAAATTAAAGACTTGCCTACCCTGAGATTTTTACAGAAGCACTTTCACAAAAGATTTTCTCCTAGTCATTAGTCATAATAGATTCTCTACACCAAATTTCCATAAATGTGTTTGGATAGCCTTTAGGGAGGACATCATTTTACTCTTCTGTAATATCTGTGAGTACCAGGTCACTGAAGGGCCCTGGGATGAAATTTATGCTTTACACACTCAAGACCTGACACACCAACTCTGTTACAAAGGTAATAAAATGTCATCTTCTGTTTGCACAGTGCTTTCAACTTCTCCAAGAGCTTTTGCATCCATTATCTTATTTTTTTCCTCACAGTCATCCAGGGTGGTAGGCAAGACTGATTTTATTACGCCCATTTTACGTATGCCAAATGAAGCAGCCAGAACTTAACTGGTGTCAGTTCTGTTAGCTGAACCTATTACTGCAAATTTGGTCTGGTGCTCTTTGCATTTGTTGCTATTTAAAGGGACCCGAGACTGGAGAAACTTGTACTGATTAAGCTCTCTAATCCGTCCCCCACCCCACCCCGCCAAGGGCTAAGTAATAATTGAGCAGACCAACTTGCGCCCGCGTAAGTTTCCAAAGGTTTCAAGTTACTACCCGGCTTTGCTAGGACAGAACCGGGCGCAGGAGGCCAGAGGCATGGGGTTAGAGGGGTGAGTCAATCATTCAAGGCTCTGTGACATTTGTTGCCTCTTTTACAAGGCTAGGAGGCTGCTCCCCGTAGTATCCCGTTGCACGAGCTCAGAAGCCTTACCTTTTTAAAGCAGCAAAGTACAGGGAACGCGGATAGAAGGAGGTGGGCTTGGTTGGAGTGGAGGGGGTGGAGGTTCTGGATGTAGAGTTAGCTTTAGGGAGAAAAGAGTAGGGTAGGAGTGGAAGGAATCTGGTCAATCTGGGGGCCCCAAAGAGCCAGGGTGATTGGGCCACGGGCTGGGGAGGGGATGGCTCGGGGCCCACAGCAGGAAAGGAAAGAAAGGCAGAGGCTGGGGGCACGAAGGGAGGCGGGGCAGGTGGGTAGGACTTGGCCCCACGGGCTAGCCGCCCGGCGGAGGGTGGGGGGGGGCAGGGTGCAGAGACTTGGAGGGCAGATGGAGTTTGGGGTAGCCCAGGGGGTGGTGAAGGAGACTCTGGGCTGAAAGAAGAGATCAGAGAGCAAGCTCGGGAGGGGAGAGGGGCGGTTCAGCCTGCTAAGGAGACAAAGCGAGCCCGGGCAGCGGCAGCAGCAGCTTCTGACCAGGGTGGGCCGGGCCGAGCGGGCTGGGCTGTGCCGGGCTGGGCCGCCCCGTTGGGGGCGGGGCCGGCAGCGCAAGCTCCCCCTACCCTCACCCCGCTTGGGCCACTGGGGGCCGGCGGGGACTGACCCCCGGCCCCGCGGCTGTGCAGCTCGCCCAGCCCGGCCTGCGGCCTCACCTGTCCAGCCAGAAGGTCCAGGGGGAGTGCAGGGGGACCCCGCCGGGCTCCGGCCTCAACTCCGCTAGGCGCTGCATGGCCAGGGGCTCCTCGGCGTCCGGCGGCCCGGGCGGCTCGCGGGCGCCCGCGGCGGGGGGCTCCGGAGGGCTCAGTGCAGCCGCCTCGGCGGCCGGGGGAAGCGCCATTTTCTCCCCTCGCCCGGCCAGCGGAGCACCAAGAAAGCCGGAGACTGCGGAGGAGCCGGCGGCGGCGGCGGCGGCGGAGGCAGCAGCAGCGGAGGCCGCGGCTGCCGAGGCTGAGTCACCCCCCGCCCGCCCTCTGTCTCCTCCCCGCCCCCCGCCCTCTGCTGCCTGTGGGCGCCCTCGGCTCCGCCCCACGCAGGGGGCCCCTGGCCCGGCCTGCCGTGGTGTCAGCACCGCCCCCCGGCTGCTCGCCCGCCCAGAGGTCAAGGCCGGCCCAACCCTGGCCGCAGCGCAGCGCGCGCCGCGAGCTGGCCCGGGGCCGGGGCGGGCACAAAGAGCGGCAGGGAGGGGGTACGGGGGGAAGGGGATTGGCGCGCGCACGGTCAGCGCGAGCCAGACGGGGAGCCGGGCGCGCAGATAGGCAGGCCAGAGCGTATCTGCAGATAGGCAGAGATAGGCAGGACGCACGGTCACTAGGGATGCACTGAGAGCTCCCGCCGCCCCGGGCACACAGGTGCGCAGTTTGGCCGCTGGACAGAGGCAGCGGGACAGCCAACGTGTAGAAGCAGGCTTCTGTACACACACAAACACGCGCACGCACACACACACACACACGCACACACACACACACCTGACCAAAGAGCTCTGCCCAGAGGGAGGGCAAGTCTGGGGAACTCCCTGTTTTAGCGGGAGGGAAAGCCCATGCTTAGTGTGGGGGCAGCTCTGCTCCATTGCAGACTACGTGTGGTTATCCGCATAACATCTAACCATTGGTCGGTACGCCCATCACCCCAGAATGGGGTCCCCGACTCCCACCTCGCAGAGAACACTCTGAAGCAGGAGATTGGTTGCCTCTGTCCATCTAGCTTTCCAAACACCTGTGTTTTCTTCTTTTCCTGTTTTTACAGCCCACTGTTAAATCAGGTGACTTTGCAGCTACAGAAACATTAGTGATGTTGGGAAGGGTGCAAACAAAGATCAAACTGCCCAATACCTTGACACTTGGAACAGTGACAAGATTAGAATTCAGTAATGTTGTCATTTCCTATCAGCACCGACGGATCCCAGCTTCTTCAAGTAAGAAAACACTTTTTTTTTTTAAGATCAGAAGATTTTGTAGCCACCCACTCGATATCAGTTATATACAGTATCCATTGATGGAGACAATATATGTTAACAAGATAACAATGCTTGCTGCTAATATGAATTAAAAAACTCTTACAATAACCTTTCTCATCAGGGTTCTGAGTTTAGAATCGTAGATTTACAGGGAACCTGAGGGACTTTCTACTCCAAACACTTCATTTTTATAGATGAGGAATTCAAGCCCAGAGATAGGCCCTCCTACTCCAAACCCAGTGTTCTTGCCACATCTTTCACTATGTGACTTCCTCATTAACTCTTTTTTTTTTTTAAGCCTTTGGCTTTGCTGAGGGGCAGCAATGTCAGTGTGATAACGGTTATAAGGGAACAGGGATCCAATCTTTTCCTTTTCTTAGGTCTTGGGCTTTAGAAAATGGTCTTAATTTCACCACTACCATAATCTTCAAATTCTCATATGCTTTTGATAGCTCAAGTTGGGTTTAGTGTCAGAAATGGTTGTGAATCCTGGGAAGCCTTAAGAAGTCTTTCCAACAGTGTCACAAGCTGACTTTTGCTGCTGTTTCTGCTGCTTCCAAGAAGGAAACATTTTCAATGTCTTCGGTTTAATTGTTTGACACTTACGTTAGACAGGAGCTAGTTTATGCTCTGAGTCCTTTTGGAAAACTGTCAAACTGGACAGATGTTTACATTTTTGAGGTCTGAAGACTCAGCACTTTCCTTGGAGGCTTTATGCAAAGGGCAAGAGAAGCATGATAGCAATGCTTTCTCTAAGCATCACTTATTTTTTCTAAGAACCCAGACTTTGGGGGGTGGAGCAGGGAACAGGAGACCCGGGGAGGAGAAGGGATAGAAGAAGGTACATGAATGGGCAAATGCCAATGATTTAGATTAGACTCAGGTAAATGAATGTGCTAGTTTAGTGTTGAACTCTTTACCTCTACATGATTAGAACCTGCCCCATAAAGGCAGCACCAGAAGCACATACTCTGATACATGTAATAGTCCCAAGTGGTGGGACTTCTACTGAGAGAATTCCTGAGCAGTGCCAGCCTGGTTCAATAGTTCCTACTTTCAAGTGCAAGGACACGTTTAACATCAAAACATCCTGAACATAGCCACATAATAACAATTTTACTGTTAATATCCATTGATTGAGAAGATGTATAGTGGCAAAATGTCCAAGCTTGGATTCATTTGGATTCAAAGCCCCTCTTTTCAGGGATCTAATCCACAGGTTAGGATCATGGCCTGTGTTTAGTGTTGGAAGGTATCCTGAAAGCCATCTACTCCAACCTCTTCATTTTATATAGTTAAGAAAACGAAGTAGAGAGGTTGAGTGATGTGCCCAAATATTACACAGCTAGTAAGTGACATTGTCAGGATTTGAAACCAGATTCTCTAATCATAGATTCAGCACATACTCTACTTTGCCACATTTCTCCTCACTGATCTAGATGTTAGGCCTAAGTAGCAAATCAGCTTTTGTATTAAGGAGCTATATTCAGGTGTTTGGTATTCAGATGGCTATAACTTTCAAGCTGTGAAAAATGGCACCTTTATGTCCCATCATCACCTTTATTAATGCAACTGAGTACTGATCAGAAGATTTCTCAGATCAGCTTGATTAGTTTAGAAGCAGGTGATCCTTTGAGTATTTGAACGCATTTCCCTTTGAAGGGATGTAAACGTATCCATTTCACTATTTGGACTCAATGGAATCGATACTGGTTTCTTCCGATGGCTCAGGTTGCTGTGGGATCTACCACTCCTTTGTGCTAGCACGAGTGGGGAACCTGAGGCCTTGAGGTCACATGTGGCTCTCTAGGTCCTCAAGTGCTGTCCTTTGGGCTCTGACCCCTGTGTCTATAAGGGGACAGCTTCTTTCTTGACTGGACCCTTCCCCCTACCCCACTTTGCCTTTTTCCCCTTTCTGAGAACAAGTCAGAGACCAGAGACTTTCTTTTTCCAGTTGATCTGAATTCTGAGGTTTTCCTTTTTTTTCCCTCAGGATGTTGACACTACCAAAGCACCCCCCTCATACCCATTCTCTCTCTCTTCTCTCTCTCTCTCTCTTCTCTCTCTTCTTTCTCTCTCTCTCTCTCTCTCTCTCTCTCTCTCTCTCTCTCTCTCTCTCTCTCTCTCCCTTTCTCTCTCTCTCTCTTTCTCTCTCTCTCTTTTTCTTTCTAAAAGACTGGGTCTTGGAATACTAAAATTTGGAGATGCTAGAGAAGCAACACTAAGGCTGGCACTGCTCAGGAATTCTCTCAGTAGAAGTCCCACTACTTGGGATTATTACATGTTTCAGAGTATGTGCTTCTTCTGATACTGCCTCTATGGGGCAGGTTCTAGTCATGCAGAGGTCAAGAGTTCAACAGTAAATGCCTAATTACCTAATTCCAGTGGTTTTTCTTCAGTCTTCATCCTCCTTGACTTCTCCAAACTACTTGACATAGTCAATAAGCATTTATTAAGCACATACCTGAGTCAAGCACTGTGTTAAGGGCTAAGGCTACAAAGAAAGGCACAAGATAGTCCCTGCTCTCAAGGACCTGACATTGTAATGGGAGAGACAACATGCCAACAACTAGGTACAAACAAGGTGTGTGCATACATACACATACACACACATGTGTATATGTGTGTTTGTGTGTGTGTGTGTATGTGTGTGTGTGTGTGTGTGTGTGAGAGAGAGAGAGAGAGAGAGAGAGAGAGGGCTTTGGGGGTAGTCTCAGAGAAAAGGCATCAGTATTAAGGGGGACCAGGAAATGCTTCTTTTAGAAGGTGGCATTTTCACTGGAACTTCAAGGAAGCCAAGGACAGGAAGAGGAAGAGATTAGGAGTGAGAAAATTCCAACCCTGGGAAACAGCCAGTGAAGATGCAGGGAGTCAGAAGATAGGGTGTCTTGTGCAAGGAACAGTAAGGAGGCCAGGGCTACTACATCACAAAATATATGGGTGGGGGTGGGGAATAAGGTTTAAGAAGATTGGAAAGGTGGAAGTGGGCAGTTTATGAAGGACTTTGAAGGCCAAGCAGAGAATTTTATATTGATCCTAAAAGTGACAAGGAGCCACTGGGGTTTATCAAATGAGTTGAGGGGATATCATTATACCTGTACTTTAGGAAGATCCATATGACAGCTGAGTGGAGGATAGACTGGTGTGTGGAGAGACTTGATGCAGGGAAACCACTAGAAGGCTATTTCAGTAATCCAGATGTGAAGCAACAAGGACCTGTGTTAGGGTGGTAACAGTGCCAGAAGTTAGAATGGAACATATACAAGATGTTTTAGGAAGGTTAAATAGACAGGATCTGGCAACAGACTGGATATGGGTGTAAGAGGGAGTGAGAAATTGAGGGTGACACTTAGGTTGTGAGCCTGAGTGACTGGGAGGGTGGTGGAACCCTCAATAATGATGGGGAAATTACAAAGGCGGGGGTTGGGTGCAAAAGATAATGAATGAGTTCCATTTTGAACATGTTGAGTTTAAGATGGCTATGGGACATCCAATTAGAAATGTCTAATAGTCAGTTGGAGCTGTGAGACTGGAAGTCACGAGAGGGGTTAGGGCTAAATAAAATAGATTTGAAACTAATCAGCGTAGAGATGATAATTGAATAGATGGAGTCAATGTGAATCAATTAGAGGACTATTTGGATGGCTAATGAGATCATCAAGTATTGAAAGAGAAAAGAAGAGGGGCCAGGTCACAGCGGGCATTACCTGGATGAAAATCCAGGAAAGGATACTTACTGAAAAGGGTGGTCAGATAGGCAGGAGGAGAACCAGGAAGAAATTGTCAAAGAGAAGAGGGCAACTGACAGTGTCAAAGGTACAGAAGGGTCAAGGAGGATGAGGAATGAAGAAAAGCTTTTAGATTTTTCAGGTAAGAGGCCTTTG